CCACAAGAATTGGTAACCCACTCATGGTCTGTATTTTCAGCAAAACAGTGTTGACCTTTAGAGTACTTGAAACTGGGATGCCACTTCCAGAAGGAGTTTTGGCTCCCGTCAGACCAAGTCCAGGGGTTCCTGTACAGACCGATCCAATAAGAACCAGTGCCCAGTGTTGCATTGAAGGCCTCAGTGTTTTCTGCCTCATTCTCAATCGTGGCCAAGTCGGTGAAGTTCTCCCTGCAGTACTGCTGAGCAGACTGCCATGTTTTGCTGGTTGGGATGAGGAAATAGTTTTTCTTGTTGTTCTCTGAAACTGCAGCAGAAAATAACCCACAGTGAGTTCAGTTACTCCTCTCAGATATTAACAACAGATGCTCAGAGCTTGGATCCAATTTAGCTGAATGAGAGGCTACATGTCTCAAAAAATGAGCACACTAACTTAAATCTATTATCTGGTAAAACGTATTCATCTGGGCTTTAAGTTTTCTAACTCTTCACTGGCATCTCATATCTGGAGAGAAACCACTTCAGCAAGAAGGCAAAAATGGAGTGATTAAATTTTTCAGTCAGACACAAAACCTGAAACAGAACCTTATTTTTCATGCTTTAGGTTTGGATCAAATATAAGAAACTTAAAATGACTCACAAGCTCTTTATTGCTATTCATTTTTTTAAATCAATAAAGTGTCATATTACCGTTGTAGCAGATGAATCCTCTGGTCCCTTCACAGCTCACATCAACCCATGTTCCATCATAATACATCACTACACATGTTTTATTTTGATATGCATAATATGGGTATGAAGGGAGCCAGTTCTGGTACCCGGTTCTGCTGGTTTCTCCTGTTGCTGACCACCTCCAAGAGTTGGTGTCATTACCCATGGAGGTTTTCCAGTTTTCAGGGTCATCCCAGAGTCCGATCCAGGCCCAGGAATAAGAGAAATCAGCTTTCAGCCTGCTGAGGTCTTCCATGCTGTCAAAGGTGGCCAGGTCGGTGTATTTCTCTCTGCAGAACTGTCGGGCTTTGGTCCAGCTCATTTCTCTGGGAATATAGTGGTACTGACGAGGGGGGGGCTGTGAGCAGGAGCTGAGGGTAAGTCCTGTGTATTGATGGAGGGGAAAAGATGCAGATTAGTGGATCATTTAAATTTGGTATTCACTGATGTCACTTCTATGTAGTGAGTTTATTTTTCCAAAAAAATATCAAATCTCTGAGCTGAGCAACGCTTCTAAGAAGTATTTTACCTCTTATCAAAGACTGAAACATCATATTTTCAGATTATTTTATGTTTTAACACCTGTGATAAGTTCCAAAACAAAAACATTTAAAAGCAAAACAATCTTTTTAATATGCAGTGTTTAAATTTGAAAGTCTCACCCAAAGGGAGCAACGCTGCCAGCATCAAGAGCCGATCCATTTTCACTGCAAACAAAAAGAAAATTTCACTCAAAACAAGACGTGAAGCCTCTGCATGTCTTTGCAAATGAGCCTAAAGTATCTCAAATTGAGTTTTCCGGAGCTAAAAGGACCTCACAGCCACTAAAAGAAAAAAAAACGGAAAAATGAAATCATCCCATGATCCACTTGAAAAAATAACATTTGCAGTTATTTATTAAACTGAGTCCAAAAGTAATGAAAGCCCATTTTTTCTTTTAATTCTTGGTTTCCTTTTAAATAACAA